ATCGTTTTTTTCAGATACGAATTTATCTAAAACAAGCAAATCACGCCATAGAGCAGTGCAATAATAACTATGGCCAATAACTATGGATATCCGATATGAGCGAAGGGCGACTTTTGACAACGATGTATTTTCAGGAGTGAAGGTCTGAAATCCAAATGGAGCCATGAGCGTTCAGTCTATATTGTCACAGGGAGAAACCCGTGAGTTCTGTAGACGGACTTGCCTTTGTCCAATTCAAAACGCTTGGCATAATTTGGTCACACATAGTCATCTGAGTTCACTGAGTCCTTTCTAAAATAGAATGTGATCAAGTCTAACAAGCCCACGACCCCGGCATGCGCATTTTATCGGTTCGTTGTCGTCTGCAAAGTTTTGAAGCGGCGATGTCAGAGCCCCTGTGCCCCGGTCACTCTCTTAAACTGAAACAGTGATGTTAAAGTTTATCTTTTACATGAGTGTTCGTCATCATCTTAGATAATCTGTTCAATTTCAGTATCCTCGGAAGTTGATTCGTATGACTTGAAATAACAATATCTTCTACGATGAGTTCATATTGATTGCCGATGCGGCAAGCATACCGTCGTCAGTGTCGATGTTGAACGTGATTTTATGCACAGGTGAGCTCCAAGCTGCAGCTGGATGTGTCATATTAAGCACCTTGAGCGCTCATCTTGAAGGTAGCATGAGGTGCTCGCCTTCGAAAACGGGTTCCATCATCGTTCGATGTGGCTAAAATTGTACATAACCTGAGCAGGTAGTATGTTTTGCCTCAGATGAGTTTCGACAAATCTTACAATGACCCGGATTTCGAGCGAAAAGGGCGTGACATCATATAACATCAAATTCTTAAGAGTTCAATCGTTTAAGCTGGCAGCTCGGATCGCCGGCCGCACCATCAGCTACGGCCTTACTCCTTGCCATACGTGGTGCTCCATAGTGGCTCGTTAAGTCCTCACAGAAACACTTATTCTATTAAAAAGTGAGTTGAGATCGATAAATGCCCATTTCGATGATGACTATACTTTTTCTGGCCGGCTTGCAGATGATATTCAGGCGTCTTAGGGCGTCGTGCTTATGATGCAGTTTGGTGACGAAATGTTCCACCATATTCGAAAGCTTATGTCTTGTCTGTCGAAATAAGTGCTTCTAATTTTCAATATTGGTGCAATAAATTTACGACGCCAAGTTCATACCCTAGCACATTGCGCTCTACCGTTCCCTTGTGAAGTCCATAGTCTGCAACACGTTGACGCCAACGGTGGTTGCAACATCTTTCGTGGCCTGCCTCTGTTCATCATTGAGATACGTTGGGATAGTGATAACTGCGTCGAAGAGCGACTGCAAGAATCAATAACGATATTTCTTGAAGGACTGCTATTTCGAGCCGTTCACATGTAGCTATGAACGTTTAACGTTCCGCGTCATGCTGAAGTGACGACTAATCTACTTCTTCGCGTCAAATCCGTATTGGTCAGGTTTGTAGTCATTTGATGGAGTGCTGCATCGGTTCTCTGCAGGTGAAGGTGACAAATGTCAGCGTTACCGGTTGCCCTGATTATTAGCGATGATTTCAGCTGCTTCCTCATAGAATACTCTGACGCAGGAGTATGTTGTGCCTCGTATGGCCAATTTCGAGTGCTGGAACTGTGCCGAACAACAAAATCATTGTTGACTACCTTCATTCGACTGCTTATACTGTGTCTTTTTGTATTAAAATACGCGCACTGCTTGGTTTTTCGACAAATCAAAAAAGGCTTACGATTCATCTACGCAGGCCTTTTGCGAGAAGGTAGTCTTCGTCTATCCAAGGTCATTCTCCAATACGAGGGGTGATTTGGCTGCCGCCGCAGCGTTCTCCCGTTTGAACATTGGCCCTATTATTTCATAGCGTTCATAGAGTGTTAAACTCGGTAAAATCTAAGACGCCTCGATATATTATCGCCTATATAGACTGACTGTTTCAATGACCATTCTGAACGCAAGCACTTTGACCGCGGCTTATTGTTTGTCTACGGCAACTCGCTTTCGGTACTAGCGCATGATGTTATTTCAACCTGCCCGATAGGCAATTCGTCGATTGCCTTCAAAAAAATAGCCTTTTACTATTAGCCCCTAGAATATCATCACGCAGCATTCCATTTAGATCCCATTAGGTCGACAAATTGCCCCACATTTGTCAGCTGCTCAAGTTCGAAAGTTGTTTTTAAAATCAGATGATTCGGATATCCGACATTAGGTTCCTGATGACTTGCTAATCGTCGAATTTCGTTACCGTGTGCCTAAACCTGACCACCATGAGATAATGGTCTTATGATGATCTGTGTTCGATTTTCCGCCTGTCGTTTTGACTTATCATATTGACGGTAACCAGATCCGAGTGATCTATTCTCAGAGTGATTTTCCACCCCTATAACAGTTCTGGCCATTTCCCTCGACCGAAAATTTACACGTACCAGCTTTCGTTTTTGTGTCGACCCATTTTCTATGTGGATTGAACTCTCAATGACTTAGGTAATTAGCGAAATTGGTTCAGACTCGTATAGCTAGCCATATCCGATAGGATCTCTTTCCGTATACTTGATCTGACATTATGACCGATCATTTCTCGAGCAATTTAATTTTTAGCCTTGTTCTGCTTACGTCTTAATGGCTCACTGTTTCTTCAACGAAATTTGAGAAGCGTTCGATACATCGTGAACACTATCAAGGTTGGACCTGGAGCTGCCAGTGTTGTATAGGTTTCCTTTGGGTTTTCATGTGTTTTTTTAACTCCCAGATTCCGCGCTTTGTCACATACACTTTATTCGAGCCTATTTCATACCTTATCCTATAAATGCATGCCTTTTACGCATCTAGCAAGCAAACGAACGCTCCTTACAACGTCTTCGTCTGACAACAACTCGAGAGATAACGCCTTCTAATAAGCGGAGGCCGCGGCTCTTATGTTGTTGAACTTCAACTCTTCAATGTTATTCAGATTTCTTTGTCGGTCGTTCTTTTTGTTTGTTTGTTTGTTTGACAGAGTCGTTTCTACCAGAGCTTAGCTATCATATAAATGTACACAATTATTCGAGGCTCAATAAAATAGGAGCAACACATTTCGATCCATTTTTGTGGTTTCCCTCTGTTATTTATAACACGTAACAAACAGAACCCGTGTATAGGATTGTAAAAAATGGTACTTTCCAACGACACGGTATGAACATACATACGTCGCATATGCAAATGCTTTGGTTTTAGGTATCACAAAACATAATATAACAATGTTTATCGATAACGTGTACTGCGTTCACTGAACCGACGCCATATGATCTAAAGGGGCTAATAAATGTTGAGGGATTCTTTCATGTCATCATATCAGTATGCCTAACGGTTCCCGCTCGACGCAACGCAGATCGCTCCTTTTAACTAATAGCTATTCCCAGCACCCAAATGAACGGATTCAGAGCCTGAATCACAAACATGTACAAAATGATAAGATCTATTAGTTTATAGTATTTTGGTAACGTATAGCGAAACTCTTTGAGCTGAGCGGTATTTAGCTAAATGACAAAATTAGGACTACTCCATAACGAGATAATACTATTTATCTAATGACTGCTTCTTTTCTGTATTAGGCATTGTTACATTCCGTACCTTTCATTTACGCATTCTGTAATTAGGGGGTTTGAGCTACTTCAAGGTTGCCGTTTGCGGAAGCCCGCCTTGACTGTTGATTGCATTAAGTTATAGCTAAAACTGGAGTAATTGAAAGACTCGTTCGTTCTGACTCACAGTTTGAGCTGTTGTTCAGCTTAAGCTCAAGGAACCTAAACTTGTCCGTGTTTATGGGACGTTGCAATTCACCCGCCTATAGAAGGATGTACGACGGACCCAGGATTTTCCAGTGCATCGCTGTCCGACCATCAATTAAATGGGGCGACCTAGCGATGAAGATACGTGTAGAAGCTTCTCAAGAAGCTCGGCTCAATGGCTTGCTTGATTTTGGTTTATTGATCCGGAATAAAGTATGCTGTTCAGTAGACTCACCACGGCCAAAACCTCTAACTAACAAGACTGTATAAATCGTGTGGGAGAACGCCACGTATGATAGCGCGATTCGATTCCCGCCACCATTATGAATAATCTTTTTTATTTCGAAGTACTCCGATGTAGAAATACCTCGTATAGAGATCAACTGCAGCCTTTACTGGTGCAGAGCATTTACACGACGATAGATCACTCGATCTAAAGTTTACAACTATTGTGTTGGGCGCCGTTTCTTTTAATGGGGTGCGAAAGATTGGCCTGATTCAAGCAGAAGTTGAATGCAGTATAATTAAATTGGCTTCGTCTTGATATCCTTTTATCGTTAATATGATCGTACAATTCGAGAGAGTATCTACTATTCACAGATCACTCATTTTGCAAAGGGTGTATTTTCGATATCGGCATTATAAATTTTGATAGACTCGAGCTCAATCATTGTTAGCCAAAATAATGCTGTTCCATAGAGAGAAAAACTCGATAATACAACGGCTATAAACCTGGCAGCGATGTCATTTTCTACTATGACATCTAATGCTGGAAACATACGCATTTAGCTGAGTACCTTTGAATATATTTTTTTTTCTTAACTTTAAGATAGAAACATGAACTGCCCTACAAAAGCCGGCGGCTGGCAACAGGGTTCATTCGAAGCTCGACTGACACTTGGCGATACGCCACCATTCCATCAGACGTTGCCTAACCAGGGCAAGCTGGACCTTGTCTTAGCTTGTCAAGACCCAGACGGGCAGTAAAGGTTCAATATTAGACACTGCCGCACTCCACTTCGCGTTGGGTACAGTTTGCTCATTTGAGGCAATACTTAGCTAAGGCGGCATCACCGGACTCGAAACATTTACTTCAGCTAGTAAAAACGACCTGCGTTCTTCAATCGCGCCTGCTCCATTAATTTTTGTTTAGATCATAATCTCAGTTATTCGTAAAGGAATTATTTCGCCAAACGGTAAAGCCAATGTTCATTATCATAAAACAACGAAACATGCCTAGTATTCGCGCGTAAAGAAACGCGTTCTAAATCGAGCCGAAGCGTGCTAGTAATCGTTACGCTAAATTAATTCTGTGCTCAAGGCTGATTTTATCGATTATAAGTGTGCGTCTGACAGTCATGATTTGTTGAGCCTCAGATCAAAATCGTCACGAGCGGGACGTCAAAATTTTATTTGGGACAAACATTGCTCGAATGTTTGACTTTATTATTTAGTCGAAAATCTAGATAACCAGAGAGTGAACATAATTGTTTGTTCGATTTCTCGAACACTACGACCTGGCGAACTAAGAATTATATTACGGAACTGCGTAAACGGCATCTGTCTAACGCTGCGCTGCAACTACAGAAAGTTGTCGCTAATTTCCTACAGCATCGAGTGAAGCTACGCGCTTCTCCTGCGAAATCGGCAACGAATCCTGTAAATACAAGCATTAATTACCACCACCACCACCGTCTTCGCAAACAGCGACATTAGATAGTAACTAACGAACTACAGGAAATACCGGCAGAAATCGGTTTGAGACGTCCTTCATCGGCCGAGGACGGATTTCTTCGACAAGGTGTATTCCTCGGATGCTAAAGCAGAGACTTGCCATTTCATAGAAATGGTCGATAAGGGGACGAGGTCCGCCGGGGCAAGCGCTCCGCCACGAAGCCCGGCTATCGGCATCGACTTAGGCACGACGAACTCGTGTGTTGGAATTTTTCGAAACGGCAAGGTTGAGATTATGACTAATGATCAAGGTAGTAGGAAGACAGCTTCGCTTGTGGCCTTCACGGAGGATGGCCTGCTGATTGGTGAGCCGGCAACTAGACAGGTGACGACCGATCCCGCAAACACAATATTCAACTTTAAGAGACTCCTGGGACGACGGTACACAGATCCGATTATACAGAATGACATGAAGACCTGGCCGTTCGAGGTAGTAAACGAGCGAGGATGGCCAAAAATTCGAATTGATTCTAAAGGCGAAAAAAGGTGCTACTTTCCGGAGAAGATCCAGTCGATGTTGCTTCTTAAGATGAAAGGAATTGCCGAGTCCTATCTTGGAGAGATGGTCACCGATGCTGTGATTACGGTACCAGCCCATTTTAATGAGTACCAGAAGCAAGCTACGAGGGATGCGGCAAAAATCGCCGGCCTCAATGTCATGCGTATCCTGAAAGAATCCGCTGCAACGGGGATAGCTTACAAGGTATTACACAGTAAGGGAATAATGAAAGACGAGCACAACATCCTCATCTTCGATTTAGGTGGCGGGTCATTCGACGTATCGATCCTGTCCATACACGACGGCGTACTCGAAATGAAGTCCACGAGTGGAGATACTCACCTCGGTGGTGAAGACTTCGATAGCCGACTTGTAGAATATTTTGCCAGTGAATTCAAAGCGAAACATAGAATGGACCCGACTTCGGATAAAATAGCCATGCGAAGACTGCGGGTTGCGTGTGAACGCGTCAAACGCACGCTGTCGACTGCTACCGAGGCGGCTATCGAAGTTGAGTCGTTTTTTGAGAACATCGCCCTCAAATCGTCTATCAGTCGATCAAAGTTTGAGGAGCTCTGCGGAGACCTTTTTGGCTCCACACTAGAGCCAGTGCGAAAGGCTTTACAGTATGGAAAAATAGATAAAAGTCATATACATGATATTATTGTGGTCGGTGGCTGTACAAATATTCCTCGAATACAGGAGCTATTAAAGGAGTTCTTCAATGGAAAAGAGCTCAACAAGTCGATTAGTCGGGAAGAGTCCGTTGCTTACGGTGCCGCGCTACAGGCAGGTATTTTAACTCAGGATTCGCACATCCTTGAGAACCTGCTTTTGCTCGATGTAACCCCACACCCGCTCGGAATCGAAACAGTCAATGGCGTAATGACGTTCCTTGTTAAGAGCGATACAGCAATCCCCACCAGAATTTCGCGGGGTTTTAGCACATGCTCGGAGAACCAGCCTGCTGTAACCATCAAGATTTTCGAAGGGTATAGCTCGTTCACCAAAGATAACAACATGTTGGCTAAGTTCACCATGACTGGAATCCCACAGGGAGGTAACGGTATAATTCGAATTGAGGTAACATTTAGTTTAGACGCCGATGGCACCTTGGAGGTAACTGCCCTTCACAAACCGACAGGTCGGCGAAGTAAAATTACGGTCTTCATAGACAAGGAGCATCTGCTTGAAGATGATACGAAGGATGAGGACGGTGTAGACTACCCCATACAGGAATACAAGGACGCTACTAAAGCAAGCAAAGTTTAACAGCAAGCAAAAACAACAAAGATTGTTTGATCGGCAAATAGTGAGATCGACAGCTAATTTTTGTGTTAGCGGTGATACACGGTTAGGATCTGTAGTGGCCACAACAACATCGAACAGGGTTGGCGTCGATTTAACCTTAGACAATTTGTATGCGGAAATGGCCAAGCATTGTTACGTATTAATTCGTTCGAACTATCATCGCAAACAAAGACAAAACATTATTGGTGCCATCAATAATGTGAACATTTATATTATTTGCCGCTCTTGTGTTTATGCCCTTTGTTGTTTATGCAAAATGCCCGGTTAGGTCGCGCCTTGCTGGTGTCAGTATCTATTATAGTTGTAATTCTGGTCGTCTGCTGTATGCGATTAGATTAACTGTTAACGTTGGCCGTTGCGGTGTCAGGGCATCCGTATTGGCACCGGGCAGGCCAGGTCAATAAACGTCGTCGATATTATATAAATAAATATATGAAAGATACATTATATATATATATAAATGTAGCTATTGCCTACCTTAAGCGGTGATCGAGTTTTTATGGGTATCCTGTATTTAATCGATTTACTCAACGTAAATGTAAAACGAGGGAGTAAGTACTGCCAACTAGACTTCAATAAATTTTCGATAGATTTTTCGCTGCGGGTGCCTTAGCTCATATTAACAGATTATAAATCAACCTACGGTCACTGGTCTCAAAAACATTAATCGTAATTTGAATAATAATATAGCATTACCCGTTTCGCTAAACAGTTGCTAAACCGCGCCTGACATTTTTTATACTAGTAGAGGACCCCTGCTGAAGCCGACCTCATAAGTGTACTATATTATATATCCGGTTGAAATGACTTCAGTGAATACTTTTAGGATATTGGAGTCATATCCTTGAGGCTACCTTTAAACTCTACGTATTAGATCACTGTCATGCAGAAGAATTCGGGTACCTGTTCGTGTAGTTCTGCTTAGAACATTTCGATGAATCTACGAAGACCTAGTGGGCATTATGTTGGCGCTGTACCGACGGCCTTCGAAAAACACCTCGGCTAAAACTAGAAAATAATGCGTCCAATGAGTAATCCCCTTTATGCATGCATGCATGCAAACCTGCTAGTAATATCATTTCCATGGCGTAGTGACACATGCCTTCATTCTGACCGGGATCACTGCAAATCTGTTTACATCCGCCAGGAAGTTCGTGGTTCGACTTGTTTCACCTGTGCATGTTTTACTGGGGCATAGACACGCAATATTTGTTCTACGGGACAGCACTTCAAAAAATATTTAAACAGAGGAACTGGAACCTTTGGCGCTATTAGACCCAGAGACAGACTAGGACGACGCAAACTTCCTGTCTTACTCAATAGTAAAAACCCAATCAATTTTTCATGCTGTAAACTCACGTACAATGCAAGCAAATGCAGCTTCTTCCTAATGGAAAACGTGTCACGGGTGTCTTCCATCACCTTGGTTATGATATGGGCTTCTCGAGATAACATTTATCCTAATTAGCAGGGCGGTAGATTGTCCCCAATAAATAGCCGCAGTATAGATCGGGTTTAGCCCTAATTTTGCTCACGATTAATCTATTCATATATATATATATATATATATATATATATATATAAAAAGATCACATAAGAGACAAAAAGCTAACTCTAGTGAAGACGTGGTCATATCGAAGTCATACTGCTGGACATTCTGGTGGCGTTGTAAATCAACGCTGTATGAGACTCTATTGAGCGAATAGTTACCCTCGTCGTATACAGCGCTCCATAGTTAATATTTTGAAGACTATTTAAAGGTGTAAGTTTGACGGAAATGTACCTTTAAGCTAAACCTAAGTACTCGATTAAGCAGTGCACCGCGCGTGCATAAAGCAACGATTGGGGTCGATAACAAATTCGTAGAAAATATGCTGAAAAATACCCCGGCTTTCATTAATCGTCACTACTAAATAAATCTATATAATTCATCATTAACAGATCCCATTTCTGAAATGTAGTGGAATTTTGCCTTCGGAACCGAGCAAGATGACAGAGATCGGTTAAGGTGAACCTTAACCTGGAATGTGGACTAGCTTTATGTCGCGGCGGCACAGGGCTAGACAATGTTTTTTGCCATGATTCATTAAAAAAATCATATTTTCTCTGCAATATAATTAATTTTCTAATTAACGTTCGCCAAAGTTAATAATAAGTCAATCGTTATCTAAGGTTTGATTATAGGAAGACTGGGGAGGATTGCTCATGCTAACCCGGCACATGGCGATAGAACATTAGAATTGCGTGCACATAATTGCGTGCCAAACTCATTGAAGCATTTAACTCACAACGGCCGTCTACAATCGACCCTAATAGATATATTACCATTTCTTCTGTTACAGTTCCGTTAATATTACAATGATGTAAATAGTTGAGCTATTGAAATGTCAAAGTAGCGGTAGTAATGTTAAACCCGCAGAGCAGTGATTTATCAAGTTGAACTGTGAAAGGTAACCAGATAAACTCTATTGTGAACTGTGAAACCTAGCCAAAAGTCGCAGTTCTTCCATAAAACACCGGAAAGAGTTGAGATGTTATTGTATGGCAGAGGCTACAGCCATTAGGAAAGTATGTTGCAGAGCTGAAACGATCGGAATAGACTTTGGCCATGTGCTCGAGTGTTCCGTCACGGAAAAGAGACACTACAAATAATGCGATCGAATGACACCTTCCTGTCCTGCGTTTAACAGTGTTAAGCGTCTGATAGGTTACTTCTGGCCTCCTGCCTGATTATCATATGTATAAATTTAATATTCTATCGCTATCAACCGAAATATCGTAAGCCACCATTTACAATTCTTCCATATTCCAATCGTACGCCTGATATGGCATTCATTCAGATGACTGAAAATCCTACCAATATAATTTTGAACGCAAAACGGCTGACTGACCACTGTTTTAACTACGGAACATTGGCCTTTCGAAGCTATACTCGAAGGCGAAGGCGAAGGCTTAAAATTCACATAAAAGTTAAATCAAGATATTCTTTCCTAAAAAAATCTTCCGTGATCCTTATGAAAATGAAAAGAATTTCTGAAGCATCGATCGAATGTGAGGTTATAATGGTATCCATGTACTAGCATTCTAGGACATTTTACAAATCATTAGTAAGTTAATCCCATTGCTTATGGACCCAACAAAAAGGATCTGGTTAAGCGCTATATGGGCGCCACCTGGGCGATGGCACATTTGCCATCATGGTAAGTTCTGACGAATTCAGCATCTCAATGACGGCAGGAAGTACGCATAGCAGTGGAGAGAAGTTTGAAAATCGCATGGTTCGACATTTCGTCACTCAGTTCGATCGGAGCCATCATCTATTACTAAATGTGCCTTGAGAGAGTTGTAAACAGTTTAAAGTTTATAAACACAGTACACTGAAAAACTCAATTCGTCATCGACACGAACATCGATAGAAATCGATTCGGTATTCAATAAGATCAATTTTCTATTAAATTTTTTCAATCTCGTTTCAACGATCTGTAGCGCCGTCTGCTTCCATCGATCTTGGACCATCTCGAAAGAATCCTATCAGATCCTGGGATAAAGAAGAAATTGATTGATGATATCGACTTAACCAGTGGATCGCCCCGTATACTCTACGTCAGAAAACTTAGCAATGTCCTTTATTAGTGTGAGGTTGTGGCTCATAGCGTATCTATTCTGAAGCGGAACCAGTTTAGAGGCAGTGAAGGATCTACCGTTGATTGGTGTAGTACCACTTTAGCTTTGGCCAAAAAATTATCGATAAGAATAACACTCCTATCCTAACTATCCAAATTTTGCTACGATGCAATCATAGCTTCCAATTTGCGATGGAAGCATAAAGCTTGCTCGTTTTAAAAGACACTTACTTGCTTCGAGTCACCTTTAACATACAATGCGATACCTTCAACAGCACTTTTACACCGTGAACGTTTGATATGTTGATATAGAAAGAAGGAAGTATTACTATTACAGGTCGCAGGAGTCGACTTTCGATGGAAGACATCGATTGCAATCTCTGGAAATGACGAGGACAAGCAAGAAACTCTTCTTCAACTTAATTTGGAGTATGTTTTTTTGTAGAATATAAATGCCTGTAGAATTGGAATTACTTCGCCTTTTTTTAAACGGGTCGAAATATTGTGCCGCCTACCTCGTATTTTCGGGTTTCTGGGCCGTAAGAAATACGCGAGATTCGGTATAAACGAGGCACGTTAGATTCTTATGATAAGAACGGACGGATACGGGAATCGTTTAAAGCAGAAAACTAACGAACCAGTTACCAAATGTTTATTTTCTTTCAGGTGCATATCTCGTATTTGCTATTGGGCTTATTTTTTTTTACCAATTTAGGTCTGTAGTTTAATTATTAATTACTCTAATAGACTAATAGAAAACCCACTATATGTAATTTATAATTAAGACTGATTGGGTACATTCACGTGTCCAACACACCGCCCAATACCAAATTGTTGCTTCAAAACGGGACCGGGTGTAACCATTTCAATTTCGTTAAATGTAACTTTTCCTGCTCGATTTGCTAGATCAATGGATTTGTACAAAGCGATCCAGATACATGATATCACATTTGTACCATATATCGCACTATTGGCCTACTAATTAATTAATAAGCGCACCCAAAAGGCGCCAAACTTAACAATGAGGACCAATTTTTTTCACTTAGACACCGCTAAATTTTGGTTTCCTAATCTTACATTTACGAATTTCAACGACAAATGCTATCGTAGTATTTTTTTAAATAAACATTCACTTATTTGTATCGATGTGAGGTCGTTGTAGCTCAGCATTCAGTCGACTCAGAACGTCTACGAAGCAAACCACGTAACTACTCTCGCATGTAGGCTCTCTCTGGTGGAATGTTGTGAGACAAACACAAATCACGCACAAACAACTGTCAAGGGAGCAGGACATCCATATGATAGAACATTCCGAGCGTTGTCCGTTCAGTATGCCATGTATATGAATGGCGATATAAGCAATTTAAACCGCGTTAGTAAAGCAAAGATGTGTCACGTCGTACCTGTCCTGATCACCTGAGCATAATTATTGCGAAATTCTCTGAACTAGAACGGTTAGTGCCTTCAAGAAACCGTTATGCACGAAACAGTCAAGCCATCGCGAGCTCCATCAATAGGAATCGATTTCGGTACGGCGTACTCTTGTGTCGCGGTATTTCGCCATGGGAAAGCTGAAATCATCCCTAACGATCGCGGAAACCTTATGACACCATCGTGCGTCGCGTTCACCGAGAAGGAACGCCTTATCGGTGAAGCAGCCTTGGAGCAAGCGGTCGATAACCCAGATAATACGATTTTTAATGTGAAGAGACTAATAGGCCGACGTTTTGAAGATGAGGTAGTGCAAAACTACAGAAAGCATTGGCCCTTGACCGTTGTTCTTGAAGATAGACGACTAAAAATCCAGGTTATATATAAGGGTAAGGTGAGAACTTTTTTCCCAGAAGAAGTCTCTTCGATGATCCTTGCTAAATTGAAGGTAACAGCAGAGGCATATCTGGGATGTAGGATTTTCAATGCAGTCATTTCTGTGCCTGCAAACTTTAACGACGCTCAGAGACAGGCTACCAAGGATGCTGCAATAATTGCTGGCCTCAGTGTGTTACGAATTATAAATGAACCCACTGCAGCTGCTATCACCTATGCGCTCAGTCCACCGTCTACAGTGGGGCGTCATATACTTGTTTATGATTTCGGTGCTGGTACGTTCGATGCATCTGTATTAAGTATTAAAGGCAAAGATCTCAAAGTTTTAGCGACCTCGGGAAACACTCACCTCGGTGGGGAGGATATTGACAATCGAATGGTAGACCAATTCGTAGCTGAATTTCATCGTAGGCACAAAATAGACCCATCGTCAGACATGCGAGCCCTTCGGCGTTTGCGAACGGCTTGGGAACTTGCTAAGATAATGCTATCACCATCGGACGAAACCTCTAGCGACATCGCTCATCCGGAGGAGCTCTCATCGACGAGCGAAACCTTAATTCAGATCGACTCTTTATTTGGTGGCATTGATTTTTTCACCAGTATTACCCAAGCTCGTTTCAATGAGTCATGTAGCGAACTATTTGAGCTGACCATTACGCACGTCGAGAACGCTTTGCGTGATGCAAATCTTTCTAAAATGGCTATCGAGGACATCATCTTGGTAGGCGGTTCCTCTCGAATTCTGCGAGTACAGCAATATCTGAAAGATTTATTTTATGGAAAAGAGCTCAGCCAGTTCAGCCAAATGGGTGAGGCTGTGGCCCGAGGGGCAGCTGCTCAGGCCGCAGTAATGACCGGTGACGCCGCAGAAACACTTCAGGGTTTAGCGTTTTTTGACGTGACACCTCATTCGCTTGGTATAGAGGCTACAGACGGGAGTATGGAAACGCTCATCACGCGTAACACAACAATACCGGCGTGGCAACAGGACACGATTGGCAGCTCACGCAAAGGCAAGAAGGTCATCCCAATTGAGATCTACGAAGGCGAACGATCCATAGCCAAAGAAAATAACCTTCTTGGCACGTTCGAATTCAATTTTTCGCCCACACCCAATAGTAGCTCGTGTGCTTTTGAAATTCTCTACGACGTCGATGCTAACGGAATTCTCACATTGTCACAGGGTAAGAGGCTTGTACCAACCAAAGAAACAGTCGGCTTTGAGAGCACAAATGGTCAGGGAGGCCTGACAATCACAACTAGTAAGGACAGACTTTCCAATGAAGAAATAGCACGTATCATTCAACAGAATAAGGACGAAGAAAATAAGGACACATAATGGATCTCTACGAATACTATTATGGAGCCTTGACCCTTGTTTGGGGCTGTGTGTAATAAAAAGGAACATTTGACGACTTTGCGGTTAGACATCAAATGCGAGTACATATAGTATATGTATGGCAAAACATGTGCTAGGAAGATTTAATAACGACAGCCTATTTTTTAGGTTCAAGGGATTAAAAAATTCAGCTAACCGAAGATACAGCAATGCAAATCATTGAGAAAAATCTACTTTATTAATTGTGCTAAACCGAACTTGTAGTGGTCTTTACAAATAAAGAATAATTGATACATTGGAATTAATTATATTAATAAATAATATTTACTTATTTGTATAAGAAATCGGAATTCATTTTTGTAGGGTCCGTTACCTTATTTGAGAACCGTACCTGTGACCTTGTCAGGACCAGTCCCAAATTCACTTCTGGCAAAGGCTATGTTGATATTCTCACTTGTAGCATGTAATTGCAGATTAACCTTTCAAATAATTAAGCGAATTAAATAGGTATTCTTCTTAGCTACATTACATTTAGTAGAGATATCTAGAGAGAACGAGCAACAGCATTACAGAATGCCCGTTTACAAGATGATCGAAATTTTGGTGTGGAACTGCCGCTTTGAGTCTATGTTGACAACCGCTTTACATGCTTTATGATGCTACATAATAATCTAATAAGGATTTAAAAAATTATAATAATTAAGGTACGTTACAGTTGTGAACTTTCTCATATTAATACGTTTAATAGCACGCATGCATCGGTATTCCAACAAACATTCACTTACTACATTCAAAAACTATATATATATATATATATATATATAGCAGAGTATCTAGATCTAAATATGTGGTATGATCTTCTTTGTGCTTGTAATGACTGAATTGACCTTAATAATGTTTGTTGTCCAAACGCAGCACATGCACCTCCAGCAAATATTATTTTTTAGCCCACTTCTGCCCTAACTGTACCTGATAATGTCTCTTTAGGACCCACTTCAACTTACAGAAGTTGTGGTATGTGCGCGTTCAGCTTCGTGGTCAGCTTTTTATGTCCCTCCATTGTTTTTCTGGATTTCCTTGCAATAAAGATCCCCAAAACAAACATGTGTTACAGATGTTGCTTTTCCTTTTATTTAATCCTACCAGCGTATGTTGTGCAGAGAGACGAATTTGAGCACGCGACTTCTGCAAAACTGACTTATGATACAAGCCCCCTTACCTGCCCCTAAACCATAGTGGGAACTGTGGGATCCGCGCGCCTCACGTATTGCGACCAGCACATAAGCTATTCTCATCGATACAGATGGTCGATAAAAAAGTTTGAACACGATTTCAAGAGATATTCGCAGAATATAAGCCTATATCGAGGTCGTGGGTGTTAGAGAGGTTACACGGACAAAAATGTTTCAGGCCAGATAAATAACGATACATTAGTACTCCCAATAAAAGTTTAGTTTAGTTTAGGGAACTGCTGAAGCGGAGTACACATTTCAAGGTAAAAGCCACTTCTAATTTTTTTTTGCATCAGAAGCAATGAGCTAAAAGCTTTTTGTTTGGAACAAGTGAGTAATAATGAATGGAATACGCAGTTCCGCTGTTTCTTGAAGGGTCTCGCCTTCCAATTGACACCGGCCAAATTCGAGCAGCCTTTATCTCTACATGTGAAAAAAATGAAAGAAACCAATGACTAAAAAAACGAGCATTGCCGTCGAATGCTTAGGATTCTGATGACGTAACACATGTTAATAACACACACACACACACACACACACACACACACACATACATACACAATTTATTTTTTGAGGCCACAGCAATTAAAGCATCTTTTATCATTTCAGATATTAGTAAGTGCAGATAATTAGCAGATAGATACAAGGAAACAAGGTGGGTCTGTCTTTGCAATCAGCCATGAATAATTCACAATCGACTCATAACTGAAACGATTTATTTTAAGCTCGCTTAGTTATTGACTGATGTTTGATTCATCTCTCAATTTTATAAAATGGAAGGAATCAGCAGTCAGCGGGTTCGAAATGGACAGGCGCTAACGCCACACATCAGACTCTTTGTTTAGAATCAATCATGTCCATCACTAACTATTTAGTAAAAACCACTAATGATCATAGCGATACACTCAATGACCATTTCGTAAAATCGTTTCATTTTAAACTCAATACAAGGGGTTGTGTTTATAGTAAGCGACATTCCAGCCGCTGCTATTGTCGACGATGTTGACGCGGCGATCGTCTTAGGAGCAATTCAGTAAGTGCATCCGGTCAGTTCCTTTTTTTGTCAACAACAACAGCAGCAGCAGCAGCAGCAGTAGTTACACTTCGGAATTCTATCTCATCCTGACGTAGGCGCCTGCGCAGAGGATTACAATGATTATCCCAGCTGCCCCTATGAAAAGATGAAAAAGCCCCGGACACACGGGCTCAAACACAACGGCGGGGTTGAGCGTCAGCGCGTGTTGCTGCTCCCTGTGCCGTATTAGTCCACTCTGGAGAAAATTAGAAACCGGCGCAGAACGAAGAGGGCTAATTTTAATTAGCGGCGTTTAAATTTTCTCTACGATATCATAGCGTATTTAGGGAAACGATATGGAAAAATACGGTGTGCAGATAGCAGGTGGATTATAATAATAGAGAATTCATATCAAACTCTCGTGCCCTGGAACTCTTACAAGTCATGGGAAAGAAAAACATTTCTGCTATCGATATTCCGTACTATTTAGCTTAGATTACGTATTCGTGACCAAAAAATAATTTTTATACTTTGCCTTCGAGTCATTCGTTATATTTGGGTAGCAATTATTTTGAGCATGCGTCTAAACTTACTATAATATATCGCTTTTTTGACGAAATCTATACCCACATATTACAGGCTATTTGTCCACATTTAAATCGTATCAAGCGAAACGAATTAGGCAAGGTTAAGGTAATACAGGTTAACCATTCGCTATGGATGGATTCTCTGGGATACAGATCAACGAACGCCCTCATTACGATATCGTGGTTGTATTTTTTAATAGTCTTTTTTAAGGTCAGCCACCTCCAATACCGACCGTTGTCAAGTTGTTACTTACCCAGCCTGAGTTTGTACGCAACCATGGTACAACCGTTAGAGCCAGGCTATCGGTGAGCAACTGGGCCGTTTGAGAGATGCATTCGGGCTTGGCTTTCGATCTTCGGTATCGGCGGTGCGCAACCTCCACGGCAAAGACGAACACGAACACGATTCGATTCCATTCAATTCCTTCGGCGAACATTTCATGAATAACGCCACGAAAAAGATCATCCACGCAGCCGTCACGGACGTCTAGCTGTCTCGCCATAACGTCGATTCGTTCGCGACTCGTCTCCAAAACCCCATCACCGAGGTCACGTAGCGCCAAACGAAGTTCATCGTGAAACGCAGTGACTTTAGAGTGACCATTCTCTACGGCGCTCCATTGAATGCTTAGCTTGTTTAGCTGATAGCGAAAGAAGTCGTGTACAAGTGCAATTAGTTGAGCCCGCTCTTCTCTCGCGAGCTTAGCCATGATGCAAAACAAATTTGTCAAACAAGTCTCACACGCTGCGGGCACAAACGGCAAAATATAATCACTAGTGCACAACTGGAAGAACAACACAAAGACGGCCTTCTTATCTGTCTGTTTGTTGATTCGCGACGGGAAGCATACGGGATCTGACAAATGCAGTCTGCAAGTTTCAGCTAGTCCTAGTGCAATTAGGGCTACTCCCACGCATCGTACCGTACTCAGATTATCTAATATCAAATTAGTTCGCTAAAGCTATTCCATAAATTAGGGAAGTCGTCCAATTGGTTGTTGTTTACAATATCGATATTCGTTGCTCAACACCTGTGACACTTTGGCCGAATGCAGACCGCACATTGCACATACGGTTCTTTTGCAGGAAGCCCTCTATTGTTTGCCCGTTAACCTCGATGCGGCATTTTAACAGGTACCTACTCAAACATGAAGTTCCTGACAGTCGTGGAACGATCGACTGTTTTTGGATAGTTGTCAAAGGTACAATGTCAGTAGAAACTATTACTGAGATACAAATGCTTTTAGAAGACGGCTCGGTTCCGCCGTAGTTGATTGCATATACATTTGTGATTAGTCAGTGGTTATTGGTTTGCTTGATTGCCTACTGATTTATTGCATATGCATGTATAGACCGAGTTCGAAAGGGATAGCCAATAACTATTATTGAGTAATATATCTATTCAGTTACTGTTTGTTGTTATTATCCTGCTCGACGTTGCTTAAATCAGTAGTCCTGCTAGTACATAGTAGTAGTAGTAGTAGTAGGAAAAATTTGCTTTTTTCTGAAAACTTGCTAGTTTTTATATGCCGTTATAATAATTGTTCTAGTATACTATTTACGACGCGAACCGGTAGGGACAAGAAGAAATAGAAAATGTACTCTAAATGTTTGTTTGTTTGTTTCTTGCCAGCATCAAATCCATTATACTTTGCAATTAATCCTAAAATTATCTAGTTTGTGATTGAGACCTAAATGAACAGTTTTGGATTTATTTTTAAAATGTCTGCAACTTGATGGAAAACGCAATCGGCCCACGTAAACGCCCTGAAAAAGTACCGTTGAAGCTGGACGTTTAATCCTAGAGGAATATATTTTAAAATTAAGTTTTAGCTACTTCATGTGCTCATATGAACCACTTAAAATTTCTGAAAGGTTGATATGAAACTCCACATTCATACGTATCATACATACAAGCAAACGATTTGATAGATTTGTCTCGAATCGTTTGCTTGGGCGTAAATGTGACAACCAGTGCTGTGGTTTAATAAGTGATGATTTAATAAATTTCGACCAAATAATAAAAAATAAAATATCGAATTTTAGAGGCACGGCAAAACGAACTGTTGAGAAAAATTTGGAGCGGCTTTGGCTCCGGTGGATTTTACTCAAAACTGCTATACCTTAAATTCTTTTGAATGGGCTTCAAATTTTGCAAAGTATGCTTTTTTTTTTTTATGGCTAACTGTATATCGACTTAACATAAGGGACTAATTAGAACAAGTCAGTATGAACTCCACGTTCTCCTTACGCGCTATCCATATCACCCCGACATTGCAGTAAGTAATATATGAAGCATGATGTGAACTATGGGTTCTCCCGTGCTTTCGCTTGAACTCTCGACTAAATGGCGCCTCACAAACGAGATAGTTGTCTCCCACGGTGGCTTTGACCTTGACTATTCCATTATGGACTGCCTCAATGAACACATCACCGTCAATATCGAAAATCAGCACCTTGCGCTCTTCTATGATGCCCCTTTTCGTGTCGACTTCCTTAAGGATGGCAGCAGTTATGGGGTTATTAATGATTCTGAGACGGGCTTAAACCAACAATGATTCCAGTGTCCAGTGTGCCCGATTTCTGCGAATCGTTGAAGCAAACCGGAAACGTGAAAATGGTATGCTTCGGCAATCCCCCTCATCTTCACAAGGATCATGGCTGAAGTTTCTTCAGGGTAGAGGGTTTTCCTGAATTCAAAAGTCTTGTGTCTCTATTGGCCAGTTTGATTGGCCAGTGTTTCATACAAATCTGCATAACTAAATCATCGTAACGATGTCCAATTTATTTTCTAGCGTCGAATACAGTGTTTGCAGGATTCATGATTACCCGATCGATGGCAACATTTCGAATGCGTCTCTCAGTGTCAGTGAATGAAGTTATATGGTTGCCCTAACCATTGGCAGTTATTTCCACTTTGCCATAATGGAAGACACCGACGCAAGGATACGTCGATCCAATTCCAATTTCTCGTGACGCCATTGCGACTGCTCACTACGCTGTTAAGATAAAACTGAAAAACTAATTGCCGCTTTATCATAATGCACCAATTACCCGAATAAACCATTCTTGACTGCTGTAAATCTATTTTTCGTCAGAAACACACAAAACGCGTATTCACGTATAGCGATTACTTACCCTATGCCAGTAGCATTTCTGTCAGTCAACAGAAGTTTAAGTATTCACGGTAACTTCACTTACACGCTTCACTTCTACACGCTAACGCTTTGAGCAAGCTTAATGCGACTGCTGAACTAATGGATAAACTAGCTTTTGGGAATTTATTTAAATGACTGTGAATGGTTTCTAAATAATCTTACGATGTTTTAGTCATCTATTCACGTATAGCGAACATTGCACTATTTCTCGAATCTATTTGGCGCTGCGCGTTACATGTAGCGTGCGACTGATGCTAAAGCTCTTCTATGACGCGATCAGTTTGATTTGCAGAGAAAAGGCGAAAAAACTTTTAACAAATAGAGCGTTTTCTTGAACCGGGTTCGTCAAAGATCACTGACTACTGAGTAGACACCGATAATGTGATACAATCGTGTGTTACCCAGCCATTATTAGATGTGTTACTAGAAATAAGGAAAATAAAAAAAGTAATGTCTCACACATAAAAATATACCCGCGATTACTTGCCGAACCCACAGCGCTCCGAGTATTTATTATACGACGAACATGTCGTAAAATATAAGATCTATGAGCGTTACATTATATATATAGTGGATTTGACGATATTATCACTTGACAGCTAGATGTCGTTATATGTTTGACGCTTTACATTATATTCCATTCAGTCCACAGTACAAATAATACCAGAAAAAGCATATAGGCATCCGTAAATATAGATACCAAATTATTTTAAAAAAATGTGGGTTATGGGATAGCATACACTTACTTATAAGAGTGCTGGTTTAAATGGATAAATGCAATCACTTATTTAGAAGCGTTGTTTTTATCGAAATGTTTGTTATTTTGTATAGGCCATCGACGGACCCATTTCATTATGTAATATCCATCTACCTAAGATCTAAAGCAGATCAGAACAGAAAATTCTAAAGATCTAAATTGTTATACTGTCTGACAGACCCACAGCGAAATGGATAACTTCAAACATGTCCGTTTATTTACACATTCGCAGTTAAAGTTTCCGTGAAGCCGAACATAACTGAACTGAAGCCTTGGTGGATAAAATAAACATTGAATATTTTTTTTAGTCACACAAAAAGCTGTATCAAAAAAAGTCAAACAAAAAGAATATTACTCCTATAAATTCAGCATATGGAGCATCTCGAAGTAGCAAGAGTATGCAAACAAGTAATTTTCATCTGTTTTTTTTGCGCGTTCACGACTTTAAGCAGTTAGTGTGATAGTAGACTGTAAGATCTGTTTAATATTGTTGTTTATATTTCCTTGTGGTAGGCCAAAAGCGAAGTCCTTAAGGTGATCATTGAGGATACGACGTTCGTACATATCTATGTGCACCCCTAAAATGGGTATGGATAAACTCACGACGTTACTTTTCCATAAGGAAAAATTTTGGCTAATATACTCGGTCTCTAGTGCTTGCCTTAAGAATGTATAGCTTCTTCTGTAGACATGAAACAAGGAAAAAAAGATAGTATCGAAGCTAACTTCAAAGCTCCAAGCCAGGCTGCATTTTTTGTTGTATGGATTGTTGCGTCGCTAGAATTAAACTGACGATCTCGGTCTATTCATTTACTCACGCTATATGCGCGTTTAGAGTTCAAGACCTATATAGGTATAAAGTAATACCTGTAGCAAGACCCATATATATATAAAATAATACCTGTAGCAACTATATTAAGAACATGAATAAAATACTAGGCATAAAAGCATGGCATCGCCGCTCACTTCATAGTAATTTACCATACAATACAATAACCTTTTACGTATGGTAGTCATTTTTCTTAAAACATGCGTGCCTACCAATAGACAGCATAAAAGGAAAATCTAGTAAGTGCATCTGCTATTTGTTTCGGCTTACCGAGGTAGCGCCTAGGCATTACCTAAAGTTCATCTGTGAAGCCAACTGAAACTTGTGGCTAATTAGTTGAAACGCTTTGTCGCGGTTGTCTAATTTGAAATCTATTGAAGCTCGTGTTGAAGTCGGTAATATCTGTTTATTATTTATTAAAGCCTCTAGTTTTATTAGACTATCTATTCGACTATTCTGAAAAGAAGTTCTTATTATTTAAGGAAAACATTTCAGTTCCTTCCAGTTGAAGAAGTCCTGCAGCAGTTTCTGAACGCGTGGGATACGAGTAGATACACCAACAACGATATCGTGAACCGAGCTCTTGTCCACCCTGGCATCTCGGAGAGCCTTCTCTACCGGCTGTAAGGTTGAACGGAAAAGATCCGAGCAGAGTTTCTCGAAACGGGCCCGCGTTATGGAAGAATAAAAATCGATGCTTTCGAAAAATGAGTCAATCTCGATTGATGTTTGAGTTATAATGAAAGCCTACGCTTAGCTCGTTCGTAGGCCGTAGGCACACGTCGTAAAGCTCCTTTGTTTGAAAAGAGGTCTTTTCTATGCTTTCGCTTGAACTCCTCGACAAAATGGTTCACCAGCCGATTATCAAAATCTTCACTGCCGAGGTGTGTATCTCTTGCAGTCGCTTTAGCCTCCTCGAACACTTCGTCATCTATTGGCAAAATTCCATGGACCATGAAAAAAACAGCCAAGATTTCTCCGTGCAGATCAAAGATCAGAATGCTGCGCTCACCTGCGCCAGACCTATTTTGTCCAGTCCATAGGCGATAGCAGCTGCTGTAGGTTTGCTAATTATTCAAAGTACATTTAGGACAGCGATAATTGCAACGTCCTTCGTAGACTGCCTTTGCGAATCGTTGAAATAAGCCGGAACCGTAATTACTGCATCCGAAACTGTGTTACCAAGGTAAGCTTCTGCAATTTTTTTCATTTTGGTAAGAACCATCGATGAAATCTCCTCAGGGAAAAAGCTTTTTTCTTCGCCTGTGAAGTATACCTGGATTTTTGGGTCTTGTGTTTTCACTAACAACTTGGAATGACCAATGCTTCATATCAGTTTGCACAGTGTGGCCATCGTAGCAGTGCCTGATGGG